AATTGCTCAGTCATCTCTCTAGCCCCATCAACAACCCATGCCTGAGACAGGGTTTCTCTGTGTAGCCTTGGCTGTCCTGGAACTCACTCAGTAGATCAGCCTGGTTTTGAACTCAGTCAACCACCTGTGCACCACCATGCCTGACTTGCTTCAGTTTTTGAGATGTAATCTCATTATGTGGTCCAATTTGACCCAGAGCTAGTCATTTTTCCTCCTTCAGCTTCAGTATACAAGGAAAATCTTTACAAACTGCACAAATATCGGTATTGTCCAGACCATCTTTTCTTCTTCTTTAATTTTTTATTTTATTTATTTATTTATTTTTGGTTTTTTGAGACAGGGTTTCTCTGTGGCTTTGGAGGCTGTCCTGGAACTACTACTCTTGTAGACCAGGCTTGTTTCGAACTCACAGAGATCTGCCTGCCTCTGCCTCCCGAGTGCTGGGATTAAAGGTGTGCGCCAACACTGCCCTGCTCCAGACCATCTTTTCTGACCATAATGCAGGAAAAAATCTTTAGTAAAGAGTTAGTCTATGCTGGGGATTGATGGCTCACACCTTTATGGGAGGCAGAGGTAGACATATCTCAGTGAGTTCAAGGCCAGCCTGGTCTACAGAGCAAGTTCTGGGACAACCAGAGCTACCAAAACAAAATAACAAAAACTCAAACAAACCAAAAACCATAACAACAACAAAAAGTTATTCCACAAAAATATAGTAAACATTTGAAAACATAAATACACATTCCCCTAATTTCTGAGCCAAAATATATGACATCAAAAAATCAGAACAAAACAAAATAAAAGCATTACATATCAACACTTTAACTCAAATGATAATGGGAAATTAGCAGTGCTGAATGCTTGTGAGGAACGTAGAGAAAAGGGGAAGACTGGAGATGAATCAGAAGACTATCCAGCTCAGTGAATTTAGCAAGAATGAAAAGAAATGCAGAGAGAAACATAATAGTGTAAAATGAAAGAAAAGAGATGAACAAATCCCCAAAACTCAGATGCTGATGCGCTAATGGTGAGTTTGAGGCAGCCTGGGATAACAAGACTCTATCTCAAACAACATAAAGCAAAGACCAAAAAAGCTGAATCTAAAGAGATTCTGACACCTGGAAAAAAGAAAAATCAGACTCCAGATGAGATAGAATATGAATATACCTTTAGATATTATATAACCAGGAGCAATAAAAACTACGCGCACACACACACACACACACACACACACACACAAACACACACACACACACACACAGACAGCTTTGTAGTCAATCTAGCACACGAAGTTTCATCTGCTCCACAGCGAGGAGGTCTGAGCTGAAGCCTCGTGTAATCTTGTGGACGACAGGTTAATCTGTGGCTTACTTACATAGTAAATAAACTGAGCTGTGCTGTGTACCAGGGCTTGGGCACAGCAGAACCAGAGAGGCCAAGAAGGCCTGTCTCTACAGAAAGCCCACCTTCCGGCAGGGAAAGAGAGATGCTAAGCAACGAATAAAGGAATTACAGTGTGTCAAAAGACAATGGCAGCTCTACAAAAGAGAAACCAGATTAGCACAGAACAGAGTATTGGGTCAAGAAGCATGGGGTGAGGGGAGTCCACAAAGGGAGAGATGCAGACCATCCTGGGAGAGGAAGACACCTAGGAGATGCCCTCCTCTAGATGAATGCAGAACCTCTTGATACTATGGAAACCCAAGGAGAGCTTCAGTAAGAGACTGGTTAGACCGGGCAGAAGTATGCCGGTGTGAGACTTTCAGCAAGAGGTCCATGTACTTGGCAACCTAGGGTATGGGCCAGTGAACTGAGTGACAAGAGGGAGACGTGTGCAGGAGTGATGGATGGAAGGGAGGGATAACCCCTGAGGCGGAAGTGAGGCAGACTAGGACACAGAAGAGCTTACAGGCCAAGCGAGGCCAACCAGAGGGCCAGAAGGTGGGGTGGGAGCATGAACCACAGGCTAGAGTATACTTAGGTGGAAGGGTCATGTCTCCAGGGAATGTTTAAGCAGTGGATACTTGGAGCTGCACGGCAGTGGGCTGAGGACTAGAGTTACACGTTTGTTCCCAATACACGTGCCATGCACTATTCTGGATGCACTAGTCACAAATCTTCTTCCACCCCCAAATCTCTTGAAGCTGTGTAGCCAAAAGTGCGCTGGGAGGTGGGAAAGAAGTGTGGATGGTCAAAATAAGATCTTTCCAGAATCTTGGTCCTGGTAAAGGAAGAAGTAAGCAAAACACACCAGTATTTGAAGGTATTGCCAGGCAAAGTGTCATCTTGCCTGGGAGATGAGGTCTGCTGGGCATGAGGGAAGCCAGCAGCCAGGGATGCTCAAGAGACTATCAATCTGCAGGTAGCAAAATGTGAGACTTTCTCCCTGAATAGCTAGAGTCACCCAGCAAGGGAGTTGTCAGTGGAGGCCCAAGGGCTCCCATGAGGTCCAGTTTGGAACAGCAAGCCCAAAGGGGTGACACCCAGGGCTCTGGGTCCATTCAGGTCAAGACAGGTTTTACCGAGTGTCCAAAGCTGGCCTGTCGCCTGATTGAGGGCATAGTCACAAATCTTCCTCCACCCCCAAATCTCTTGATGCTGACTGAATCCATTTCAGTCTCATCACTGTGGATTCTGGCCATCATTTCCCACCAGCAGGCAGCTAGTTTAGGGGAAAGGGGGGCTGGAAATAAAGGTGGGTGGAGGTTTTGATGGGAGGGATTGGGTTTAGCCAGAGGGAGTTGGGGGCCTAGGTCAAGGCGGATAGGAAAGAGGCAAGGGAGGAAGATGGTGGAGACTCCCGGGGCAGGAAGCAGAGTTTCCTCTCTGGGCTGAGAGGAAACCCAGCCCTGAGCTTCCCAAGGTGCTTCCTGGAGATAAGAGAGTCTCTTTCCTGCTTCTGCCCCTCTTACATCCTGCCCTAGCCCCTAGGGTACCCTAAGTTGCACCACTCAGTCAGACCTTGGGAGGGGCTTGGAGGTCAGGCCCTACTGGGGCTTTACTTCCTCCAGCTTTGAGGGGTCCACCCAGGCTTGAAGGCAACAGGGAACAGAGGCACAGAAGCGCTGGAGATTTAGCTCAGCCGGGTAAGTGGCTCTTGTGAAGGGAGAGATTGTTCCTCAAGAGTAGTTATGTGGGAGTGATCCAGGTGGTCCATGGAGGGGTTTGGATTGGTCAGAAGGCCCTATATGGAGTTACAAAACACTTCTGGAAGGCGATGGGTCGGTGGAGTGCCAGTTGTTTTTTGGGGGAAGTCTAACCAATCACTGTTCTGTGTGGGGTGAGGGCATGTCTAAGGTGAACCGGGTGCTCAGGGGTGGGATCTGGTGAGGCTAGGCTCTATGATGTACAGGGCCAGGGCAGTCCAAGGTTATTCCTGGGATGTTCAGGAATAACCAGTTTTGTGGGCGATCCAGGGCTGCTCATGGAGAGGGTTGGGGAGGCTGGGGCTGAGGGGACGCTTTCTACCACTGGCAGAGTTCCCGGCCAGGCTGCTCCGCAAAAGCTGTCCAGTGTGTGCCGCCAGCGATGAGTGGTTCTCTGGGGCCGTTAGGGGGGTGGGGTGTAAGTCAAGGTAGGTGGAAGAGTGCAGTGGAAGGCAGGACTAGACCCTAGTGTTAGTAAGGCAATTCAACCATTCAGGGGCTGCACCTTTCTGGGCCTTGGGAGCGGGGTCCCCGCGCGTTGGGCACTTCCGAGGCAGCGCCGGGCTAAGGCTGGCACGCCACGCGGGCGGCGCCTGAGTTGGTTCACTCACAGCGCTCCCCTCCCCGCCCACTCGTCACCCCCCCGCGTTGCCACGACAACGTGTGAAACTAAAATTCAGTTCCCCGTCGCAGGTGGAGACTAGTGGCGCCCCCTCCCCTAAGCCCTTCCTCGTAGGTCGCGCCCCCATCCTACTGTCGCTAAGGTGACGGGGAGGGGGGGACCAGCTGCAGGGTTGGGCCAGCCAAGGTGGGGGAAGCCGCAGAGTCCGGACAGACTCCCCAAACTCGGTTGCGGTGGGGGGCCGAGAGAAACACTCTGGGTGCGGTTAGAAGGGCTGATTTGGGGGGCGCCTCTGTGACACAGCAGCTCCGCCCTGCACGAGTCTGGGGTCTGCGGCCCTCCGATTCCCACCCAGCACGGTGCCCCGGCTGATTCCACTACCTCCTTGGGGTCTGGAGTGGGGTCGGCAGCCTGGGGAGATCTCCACCCCGGACACCAATTTTCCTGTTTTTCTCTCCCTCTCGGCCAGCCTGTGGTCCTCTTGCCCCGACGCGTAAAGGTCCCTCACCCAGCTCCAGAACCCTCCGTCACCCTAGTACGGTGGTC